GCTCCCCTGGCCGATCCCCGCGCGAAGGCGGGCCCCGCGCGAGCGTCAGGAGGGCGCGGGCGCCGTGCACCGCTAAGACGGGCGCGTGAGTGCCCGCGCGAATGACTCCGACCATGACGCTGCGGTTGATGACTATCAGCATTCCATTCGCCGTCGTCGTCATCTGCGCGATGCACCCGCCTCCAAACTGGGAGGCCCGTCGACTGGTCATGCATTGCGAACGTGGCGTGATCGCCTCATGTCCAAACTCAGATTGGACGCGTTCAGAAAGTCACCAGCATCTCGCGGGTTTCCCCGCAACGGGTCGTCGTCGTTCGTCGTAGGTTTTTCCGTATATCTGCTTAACGACGACCTGAGGACAAATCATAAATTGTAGCCCCTCCTCTGTCGCTGGCATTGTAGCATCAAAGTCCGCGGGTGCCCCCGCCATCTCGCGGTCCGAATCGGCGGGCGCGTAGGAACCCTCGGCGATCTAGATTTGCGCAGGTTGCCCCGCAATGATAATTTGCCCAACCAGTCCGACAGGTTGATCTCGCCGCGGCCAACCTAAATATCCTCGAAGAGCTCGTCGGCGCACACCTCTCGAGGAACACGCTGGCACTCGGATATCTGCCGGCCATGAAGTGGACAGCGGCAGCGGGGGCGTCTACGGGTTCGGCTCAAAGCGCCCCCCAATTATCCCACTGCGACCCTACCTAGGAATTGGAGCCCCTAGGAAAGCAGAATTAGTCGTAACAGTAAAGCTAAGCTAAAGCTAAGCGGAAGCTAAGCTAAAGCTAGGCTAAAGCTAGGCTGGCTAAGCTAAAGCTAAGCTAAAGCTAAGCTAAAACTAAGCTAAAGCTAAGCTAAAGCTAAGCTAAAGCTAAAGCTAAGCTGAAGCTAAGCTAAAGCTAAGCTGCAGATAGGCTGAACCTACGCTAAAACTAAGCTAAAGCTAAACGGAAGCTAAGCTAAGCTACAGCTAAGCTACAGCTAAGCTAAAGCTAAGCTCAAGCTAAGCTCAAGCTAAGCTCAAGCTAAGCTAAAGCTAAACTACAGCTAAAGCTACGGCGAAAGCTAAAGCGAAAGCTAAGGTAAAGCTGAGGTAAAGCTAAGGTAAAGCTAAAGTAAAGCTAAGGTAAAGCTAAGGTAAAGCTGCGCTAAAGCTAAGGCGGAGCTAGCTAAAGTAAAGCTAAGCTAAAGCAAAGCTCCAGCTAAGCTCAAGCTAAGCTAAAGCTAAGCTTTAGCTAAGCTAAAGCTAAGCTAAAGATAAAGCTAAAACTACAGCTCCCAAGGGGCTGGGGGAACCGCGGGGCGGGCGCCGGGGGAACCGCCCGGGGCGGGTTCCACTGCCCGGCCCCTTTTAAATATAGAAAGTAAGAACCCTTCTAGGCACAGCCTAGGAAGGGAATAGACGCGCTGAATGTCTGAATCGGTTTGAGCCAAATGCATCGACGGACCCCTGCCTCTACCATCGCCTCGGGGGCGCTCGCAACGGGCGCGCTGTGTGCTATGGCAGATATAACATTCCATGAATTTCCCACTTGCATCTTTCCGACATGCCTACGTATCTCACAGGAGAGCAACAGGCACAATGGCTATTTCTAATATACCAGAAACAGAAGCGCCGCTAGAGACGCTGAAAAAAACAGTTCGCAATATACGACGTACCATCCGGCGGGCGTTCAAAGCAAAGGGTAAGGGAAGAGGCAAGGGTAAAAGCAAAACGACGGCGATTACATGGCAGGGGTGTGTTGGCACTCCTGGCGCCCCTTACCGGACCACAGTGCGAAGAAATATTCCTGGGGGCAGGTAGAGGCCGCGGGGGCACCTCAGGACATGGCACCAGCTCCGTCATCGGATCAAGTGTCGGCGTCTCTACCAGAGTCAAACTCAGACTCGGCGGGTTGCCCCGCTGAGCTTACAAGGGTAGTGGCTTGGGCAGGGGCCGCCGTTGCCGGAGGTCTCTGATATCGAGCCCAGGATTCCTGCGACCCCGTAGGCTGGCCACCATGTTGAGCTAATCAGGTGGTGGCTTCTGTTGGTTGTGGGTCATCGTTCCAAACGTTGGTAGCAGGTTGCCCTGCGTTGGAATCAGTGCGTATCGTTTCGGCACGATGATCGTGGCGACATATACCACCAATGTTGCCAGGGGTTCGCTTGGCAATGTGAGCGTAGGACCTCATGAGTTCTAGTAGAGAGTTTAAGTAATGTTGGGTCCTTGGCGTTTGGTGGTTGAGTGGTTGTAACAGTTATTGTACACGCGGCGTACCCACTCCCAGAGCCCCGAACACGATGACTGTTTGGATCTGGAACTTGGTGATCTTGAGGTCCGTGGTCTCGTCCTCGAGGCGGGCTATCTGCCAGCGTGCTAACGTCTGCTCGACCCGCTCTCCCGCATGGACGCGAAAGCCGATGAGAGCCATTTCTGAATTCAGTTGGCGTTCCTCCTCTAGATTTTCAAACTTAGTGCTGAGGCGAAGCATAATGTAGATGACGCCGTCAGTGTGGCGACCACCGATGTTTACGCCAAAATTGATGATTCCAGAAGATACTCTCACGGCCATGGTCCTTGCAGGCCTTCCTAGGCCACGCTGTAGTGCTGCGGCCTGTTGGGAAGGGGTCGTAGTGCCTGTGGCCACGTTGATCCAATCGCGTACCTCGCGAACGAATTCGCGAAAAGGTATATTACTGGCAGGGTCCCAGTGGGGACCGATTGTGCGCGTGCCGTCTCCGACGCGTTGCATATGTCCAACAACACATCCGATAGCGACCCACAGGAGGCCGAATATGGCAATACCAATCCAGTGGCCCCTTAGGTCGTGGTCGGACGTTCGTGGCTGGTGCTTGCGGTGTGTTGTAGTTCGCCTGCGTGTGGGTGGAGGCGGCACAATGTCGTATCGCATGGTGCCATGCATTGCGTGCAGTAGCGCAGAGGAGTGGGACTCATGTAAGAGGCCTCCGCGAGAGCGGAGGTCGCACTGCAAATGTCCTTGCGGTTGTGCGTAATTATGTGCATTCATCCGCGCAGGACCAGCGCACCCTGATACTACAATGGATGGTGAGGAATAGTGCTAGAGCTGTCCACCATAGGCCAGCTCCGCTAGGGTGGGAGGCCCAACCAAAAACTCCGCCCAAGGCGAAGCCCAAATCCAACTCTGTGTAGTAACGATCGTCCCAGAAATAAGAGATCGTCGCGGGAACGACGGGCCATGTAAAAGAAATGTGTGTGTTCGGTCTCAATGGCAAGTCGTGTGCCTCGCGATGAGGCACAGTCATATGTTGGCGGCCGGCCGCTTGAAAACAAACGGCGGCGGACAAACGCTCGCTATCTCTCGCCTTTGCCCCAGCCTCCCCTACAGTCTCGGGGTTTCCTTGGGGAGCTTCGCCCACTCGGAGCCATCTTGGGATGGCCTTGAGGCCTCAAGGGGCCATGTTGCAAACAATAATGAATCGTGAGCCATAGTGGTATATCTTATGGCGGCCATCATGTGCCATCCTGGGCCAGAACGCATCCTGTGAGCCTCCATGCCTCCGAGGGCGCATCCGAGATGCCAAAACCATTTCAACACCTAAAGAACATCCGAACTTCACATTCTCGCACTTTCGCTTCTGATCGGCCTTTGAAGCATTGAGGTAACTCCAAAATCGCCCAAGAGGGGCCCAACAAGGCCTCAAGACGGCCACAACAACGCCCACAAACGACCGAGCATACCCCCAAGACGCGATGCTGGGGCATCCGGCGGGCGGGGGGCTGGCATTCAGACCCCCGCTCTTTTCATATCGATTGTCTCCAGCACGGCCCCAATGGGGCCCCGTAAGGCCCCCAACAGAGTCCCCCAAAAGCCCCAGGAGGGCTCCAACGGCTTCCAGAATGGACCTAAGAGGGCACCATGATGGCCCCAGTAAGTTGCCAAGAGGCTCCGATATAGAAATCTCCACGAAATCATGTCTGGTTGACTCCTAGGTCTGCTCAGGCTGATACGGAGCTTCGGTTTGATTGCCGTTTTCCCTCGTTGTTTTACTGCTTGTTCCTACACTCCCTTCACCAGGCACATCTCCTGGACTTCGTTTCTGGATGGGCTCATATTCCGAATCGCACCATTGTTCGGACGTATCCTACGGCAACAGCTAGAGGCGCGGATACAACTACACTTCTACACACATTTACGACGGCGTACTATTCTGATAACAGGACTATCAACGGCATCAGCTAGCATATTTTGGTGACTGCAATGCTACTGCTACTACTGGTTCTACTACGACAGGGTGCAACTGTAAACCAATGTAAACCAATGACGCATACTATGTTGCAGTGCGCAACACTCTAGAGCCATGAGCAATACAAGCGATGCAAGGCAACGCATTTCCAAAGCCGATCAAAGCAGCGCAAAGCGATACACAACTGTTCTTAACACAGCGATGCAGCGCAGTGCACATCAATGAATACAGTGCAAGTCGATGCAATCCAGGACAAGCAACGCACAACAATTCAACTCAGTGCACAGCAAGCACGACAAAACATCGCAAAACTAAGCGATGCTCAGCAGCGCATTGCAACAAAAGGAGGCGGCAACGGGGCGCACACGGGGCGGCAACTCGGCGGGAACAGGACGGCAAAGCGACGGCAGAGAAAGCGACGAAGAGCAGAAAATCCAGAAGGGGCTTAGAAAGTATGTAATACACCCCTAGTGCACACACTGGTTGGATAATTCTAGAGAGGGTAGACCCACTACAGACACTCGTACTGCAACTATCTCATAGGCCACATGCTGGCACACCTGCCTCACCAACTGCTACATGTTACACAATACATGTTGCCTGCGTCCTGCTGCACACTACATGCTACGACTACCACAATAGCGATGACGACTACCACCACTGCCAAACCTTGTGTCGTGACTCGTCCTACTGATAATACCCTCTCCGTGGCGCCGCTACGCGTGCCCCGAGACTGATTCAAAAAGAACGGCGGGGTTCCAGCGGCTGGCAGACTCCCACAAGCGCCACCCACCGAGGGCCTTGGCCGTGTGTGCTGAGCCGCTCGAAACGGGCATCCAGGGCCGCGTTCCAGCCGGAGAGGAAGCGCTGCAATGCCTTGCGGGGTGCTGGGCCCTTGCCTGACCCGGGGATGGGATCCTTCCTTTCCCCTCTCTCCACTCCAAACAAGGCCTACTCCCATCTAGCATGCAGGTTGCAACAACAACAAAAAAGTGTGTCGCCTCCGGCCCCCACGCTACAACATGCACATGTGGTATATGATTTTTGATTTATCTGACACGGGGTATGGTTCCTCTGTATTCGAGGCCCGTAGTGCCTGCGTGCACCACAGAGCTTGTGTAAGACACGATGTCTGCGCAACCACAGCAACAGTGTGCACCATAACGCCTGGCGCCTGCGTGCACCAGTGCCTGCGTAAACCACAAAGCCTACATACACCGCTAAAGTCCCGACAAGGCCCCATCTCAAGAAATCTTGGTGGACCAGAGCCTGTCAAATTAAGTATGCACGCGATTTGTAATTTTTGATGTTCTGGCCCTGGGAACGCGCCGCCCTGCATTTTGGGCACGAGGTGCCTGTGTGCACCCACGCGCCTATGTACAACGAGACGCTTGTGCAACCACTGGCACTGGTATGCGCCACAATGCTTGGCGCCTGTGACCGCAACACTGCTTGTGTACACCACAAAAACTAGGTACACCCCAAGGGTCACGACGAAACAGATACACCCGTCAGTTGCGATATGTGACATAATCATGGTTTATGATTTTTCTGGCCTGAATACCAGCCGCCCTGAATTCTGGGCCCGCGGTGCCTGCGTGCACCACAGCGCCTGTATACAACATGAGGCTTGCGAAACCAATGCGCCAGTGCGCACCACAACGCCTGGCGCCTGCGACCACCGCAGCGCCTTGGCAAACAATAGACGCCGTGAGCCCCCAGAGGCCCGACGGGGCCCAAAACTACATAAGATCCTGGTAGGCCCGACCCCATCAAAATCAATATGCAAAATCTGCGTGGTTACTGTTCCCAACCATCCTGTGGTGTTGGGTCCTCGATTTCTTTATATGTATATATATATATAAATATATGAATAAACAAATAAATAAAAACTGTCCCCGCGTTCTCCTCCTCCTTTCTTGCTCCTCCTCCCCCTTTTCCCTCCTCCCTGCGTTTCACCCATCCAGTACAACGTTTCGTGGCCCCATAAAATGGGGGGTTCCACCGAAGGTCCCAGTGGCGCAGCCCGCATGGCGCCGCCGACCCATTTTGGCACACCCTTCACACGTTTCGTGGTCCCGTAGGGAGCTCCATGCAAGGCCCCAATGGCGCAGCCCGCATGGCGGCGCCGCTCCATTTTGGCACACCCCTCCCACCCCACTGGCGCAACCCGCACGGCGCCGCCGCCCAATTGTGGCACACCCCATCACACGTTGCGTGGCCCCAGAAGGAGCTCCATCCAAGGTCGCAGTGGCGCGCCCGCATGGCGCCGCCCCCCCATTGTGGCACACCCCTCACACGCTGCGTGGCCCCATGGGGAGCTTCACCGAAGGTCGCAGCGGCGCAGCCCGCATGGCGCCGCCGTCCCATTTTGGCACGCCCCTCACACGCTTCGTGGCCCCATAGGGAGCTCCATGCACGGTCCCACTGGCGCAGCCCGCATGGCGTCACACGCTTCGTGGCCCCATAGGGAACTCCATCTAAGGTCCGAGTTGCGCAGCCCGCATGGCGGCGCCGCCCCATTTGGCACACCCCTCACGCGTTTCGTGGCCCCATCGAAAGCTCCATCTGGGGGCCCAGTGGTGCAGCCCGCATGGCGGCGCCGCCCCCTTTTGGCACACCCCTCATACGGGTCGTGGCCCCATAGGGAGCTCAATCTAAGGTCCCAATGGCGCAACCCCATTTTGTTACACCCCTCACACGTTTCGTGGCCCCATAGGGAACTCCACCTAGAGTCTCCGTGGCGGAACTCGCGTGGCGGCTCAGTGTCGGAGTTCGCAAGGCGGCGATTTTCGGTTTCTGGATTTTTTTCGTCGCATTCGACGTGTTGAGGCCGCTTTCGGGCCGCGCACCCCGGGCAGGAGCCAGCCTGCTCGCTCGCTTTGCTCCGCGCAGCGGACGACCCGCGCGCGTCGCCGGGACCCCTTCGGGGCGACCAGCGCGCGTCGCGGGGACTCCGTGCGGCGCCGCGCCCGCAGCCTTGGACGTGGGCGCGCACGGGCAAACAGGGAGAAGAAAAACGGGAAGGAAGCGGGCGCGATCCTCGTGAGAGGCGCGACGACATGGGCGTCGACATTTATGCACGCAGAGTCACGCGCGCGCAGACTCATCCAAAATCAAACTCACGCGCTCTCAATCTCTCGCATACAGACCTATTATATTCGCTCACGTTGTGTGCCCCGCCACGCATGTCGGCACGACCCTCACACGGTTCGTGGCCCCATAGGGGCCGCGGGCGAAGATGATATCTATATTTGCGGTATTCACAGCTGCATATGGTTGTGTCCTTCGCCTGGCTAATTGTTGTCTGGCCCGGGGCACGGCCCCCCCTTGTGTTAGGTGAAGGCGATGCCTTCGTACACCACAACGCTTGTGTGCAAGACGATGCTTGCGCCACCATAGCAATTGTGTGCACCACAATGCTTGCGTACACGTCTGCGTACATTTCGTATCCTGTGTGCACCAAAAGTCCCGACGGGGCCCAAACTTTGGAACATTGTGTCGGGCCCGACCAGTCAAATTCAATATATAAGTAACCTGCGATTATCGATTTCCCTGGCCTAGGGCACACCCCCTGCGTTGTTGGCCGGCATTGCGTGTACACCACCACGAATGTGAACCCACGGCGCGTGCGAAAAAACAGAACTCCCGCGTGCACAACATCGCCTGTATCCGCCACCGTGCCCTCGTGGCAGGACCGAAGCGAGGTATATCCAGGTCCCTCGCCCAACCCCTGAACCTCAATCTTCGATCCTGACGATTCTTCAGAGACCTGGACCCCGAGTTCTCAAATCTCTGGGGATTCCCGCGCGATCCCTGGGCTCACTGGGATGCTCCCGCATAAACTTTTTCGAGACTCACACGGCCCCCAAACAAACCAAAAGACCCCCAAGAGGCCGCCCAGACGGCCCAAGGGAAGTCGAATCGTTACATGATCGGTCCAATACGCCCAAGGTGGCTCCAAGATGACCAACACAATCTTCGGGACGCCCCCAAACCCAATAACCTTCTAAAAAGGACCCTGCACTTCCACAATCATTGATGGTAAAATGCTTGCGCTCAAATACGTGCCAAAGGCCCCCAAAACGCTCCACGACGGCACCGAAGCCCCGAACAGGACACGTGCCAAGAGGGCCCCAAGACGGCCCAAGGGGCGCCCAGAACGGCCCAAAAGGGCGCCAACATGTCCAACAGAACGGCTCAAGAGGATTAGTGCGAACCCGAAATCCAAGCCTTCCTCCCCGAGGGGCGCCCAAGAGGCCCCCATGAGGCCCCCAAGAGGCCACCCCAAAGCACCGAAACAGCCCCCAGAGGCCTCAAACCCAGAACCTAAGCGCGGTGGCGGGATGACCCACTGGGGCCCTCGGTGCCCCTCCCAGGGTGGAGGGAAGCGTGAACGGGGCGAAACTGAATTGGCTAGGCGACGCCACGCGGAAGCAACCACTGGAGCCTTTGGTGAAATTCCCCATGGGGCCACGAAGCTTGCGAAGGGGGCGCCGAATTGTGGCGGGGCCACGAAGAACCGTAGCCAATGGGATCTTCGGTGGAGCTCCTGATGGGGCCACAAAACGTGCGCAAGGCGTGCCCCAACGGGGCGCCGCATGCGCAAGAGTTTCTCCTAACCATCCTGTGGTGTTGGGTCCTCCTCGCGTCTCACCCACTCACTCCTCCTCCTCCTCCCCTGCGGGAGGGTCCGCATGGCACCGCCGCCCCATTTCGGCACACCCCTCACACGCTTCGTGGCCCCATTGGGAACTCCACCGAAGGCCCCAGCGGGAAGGTCCGCATGGCACCGCCGCCCCACTTCGGCACACCCCTCACACGTTTCGTGACCCTATAGGGAGCTACACCGAAGGCCCAGCGGGAGGGCCCGCATGGCACCGCCGCCCCATTTCGGCACACCCCTCAAACGGTTCGTGGCCCCATAGGGAAGAGCTCCACCGAAGGCCCCAGCGGGAGGGTCCGCATGGCACCGCCGCCACATTGGGGCACACCACTCCAACGCTTCGTAGCCCTATTGGGAACTCCACCGAAGGCCCCAGCGGGAGGGTCCGCATGGCGGCGCCGCCCCATTTCGGCACACCCCTCACACGCTTCGTGGCCCCATAAGGGGGAGCGCCACCGAAGGCCCCAGCGGGAGGGTCCGCACGGCACCACCGCCCCGTTTCGGCACACCCCTCACACGGTTCGTGGCGCCATAGGGAGCTCCACCAGAGGCCCTAGTGGCAAGGTCAGCATGGCACCGCCGCCCAATTTCGGCACACGCCTCACACGTTGCGTGGCCCCATAGGGAGCTCCACCGAAGGCACAAGCGGGAGGGTCCGCATGGCACCGCCGCCCATGTTTCGGCACACCCCTCACACGGTTCGTGGCCCCATAGGGAGCCCCACCGAAGGCCCCAGCGGGAAGGTCTGCATGATACCGCCGCCCCATTTCGGCACACCCCTTACACGCTTCGTGGCCCTAGCATGGCACCGCCACACGGTTCGTGGCCCCATAGGGGGCTCCACCGAAGGCCCCAGCGGGAGGGTCCGCATGGTACCGCCGCCCAATGTCGGCACACCCCTCACATGTTTCGTGGCCCCACAGGGAGCTCCACCGAAAGCCCCAGCGGGAAGGTCCGCATGGCACCTCCGCCCCATTTCGGCACACCCCTCACACGTTTCCCGGGGAGCTCCACCGAAGGCCCCAGCGGGAAGGTCCGCATGGCACCGCCGCCCCATTTTGGCACACCCCTCACACGGGTCGTGGCTCCATAGGGAACCCCACCGAAGGCCCCAGCGGAGGGGTCCACATGATACCGCCGCCCCATTTCGGCCCCCCCTTCACACAGCTCGTGACCCCATAGGGAACTCCACCGGAGGCCCCAAGGGCAA